TCCTACATGTACAATGTACGGCATTGTCGTACATGTCAAAATAAGGACATTGTCATACAGGTACAATGTACGGCATTGTCATACATTGTACAATGTACAGCATTGTCCTACATGTACAATTTACAGCATTGTCCATGTTCTTTGTATGTCATTTTCTTTCCCCCCCCCCCCCCCCCCTCTCTCTTGTATCTCCCTCTCCCTCGTCGCGGAAATTCCACATCCCTACGCATAGCGTTTCACAGCACTCGAGGCCAGTCAGTTTTGAAGTCAAAGGTAGCACACCACACCTGTAACTGCCTCTTGCCCACTTGTCTGAACCCCACCGAGAAGCCGCCGCGTGCAGGGGCGCCGGGACTGTCACCTCCGGGAAAATGCGGCGCAATACCGTCAGGCACCGCCCGGCCGTTTCACCCGCGGATTCCCTCTCCGCGCGAAACGCCTGTCCGGCGGCAAACAAACAAAAAAAGCGAAAAATATGAAGGGCGTGTTGCACGGCACCCACAAACATTGCCCTCTACATGTTTCTTCCTCGCCAAGGCTTCGTTGCCCTATTTTCTCACGATACCCTATTATAGCGGAAGCCGCAGGCACGACGAAAAGCGTTCTTGCTTTGCTTTGTTTTTTTTCACGCGTTCAACAATATGGCCAATGGTTCCCGTCAGAAACGAGGATTTTTTTGCTCTCTTTTTACATTATAAATAAAAAAACGCCCGCGGCGGAAAAACCTTGGCCGTTATCCACCCCGATCATGACCATACCCTCGCCCCCCCCCCCGCCCCCGATCCCCATTGCCTCGACACGAGAAAAACGGAACGGAACAAAAGCACGCCTCTGTGAGTTAGCACAATCGTTCATGACTTCTTAGCCTGCCGCTGCGGTTCTACCGTCAGAACAGAGCGAATAAAACGTACAAGACAAATCGTAAAAAAATAATAATTTTGTTCTCATTATAACTATTACTATTATTAATATTATTATTTCTGATATTTGAATTACTATTATGATTATTATTATTTAATGAATATTTCGACGACTTCGGCGGAGAAACACAACAACTATCCTCAACATTGTTGAGCCATCTGTTATCCCAATACATGCAGCATCTGTGAGAAGATGAAAAGAATTCTCGGAACAATGTCAGATTTGTCGAACACACGTGTCATCACCTGCTCTCCCGGGACGAGCGCGACTAGCACCGGCCGGCCGCACATATTGGTCAAGTCCAGGAACAGATAGAAGTCGCCTAAAGGAAGACCCGGGGGGGGCGGGGGGGGGCGGGGGACGGGGGGGTACTCATGTTTTTCAGCCTTAGAAGTAAGACTATTGACCACAAGTCCTCGGGAGGGCGGAGCATTGTTCCCACAGGACCGATTGCCGATGAGTGGAGGGTGTACTGACAGCCGTGCATGCCGAAAGAGAGAGAGAGAGAGAGAGAGAGAGAGAGAGAGAGAGAGAGCTTGTGCGAGCAAGACGAAGAGCAGAAAATGGAGAAGGCGCCTGAGACATCGCAGTCGACGTATATAGACTACATGTAGACAACGCGGACGACGAACGACAAGAAAGCAGAGCATCGACGTTGGCTCCTAGGCCAGCGTCGGGCGACGAGCGCCACTCTGCTGACGTCCTACGTGTTTTGTGTGCGTGTGCTGGATGAATACCCGTACCCCACCGCTCACCCACTGTTTCGAAGACTCCCGTCAGGAACTGCCGGGGAAAACCGGTTCATCTATGCATATTTACCCTGTCTCTTTTGACCCTCGCGCCCACCCAAACCGAACGGTACGTGTGTACTGTACTCACTCAACGTTTCGGGCAAACGAGACTGCAGCCGCCTGGGGCGACCGACTTACTCAGTGTTTATTGACGCCATCACGCTTCTTGTTGTTGTTGTCTTCACAAAAAAAGATGTGATACTTGTCCAATCCGAGAATCGAACTCGGGTTTCCACAGCCACAATGTGGTGTACTGACCACTATACTAATTAGACAGCACTCTAACCTACTCCGAACATGTACTTGATTAATGTATCGAAATTTCGGACATTTTTCTCTTGATTAAAGTATCGATTCCGATCACATGGCTGCTATTTAACAAGGCATTCCTTGAGACACGCGCAAGCAACCGCCGGGAACAACCGGTTTTAACGTTTTTGTTTTTACCCTATCACCTTTCACCCTCGCGCCAACCCAAACCGGAATGTACCCCATCTGCTCACCCGGTGTTTCGGAGACGTGGGCTAGAAGTCGCCGGGAACCCATCTTGACAAGCCAGAAAGCCCTCGGGAATTCTAGGACAACCTGACATCAAACAAACACGATACATGGTATTCTCAGAAGAACATACGAACACAAAGAGACCGCCCGTTCCAGATGAAATAACAGCCCAAGGGCATGTGAGTTGGATGAAATGTTTACGGTGAAGCAATGAAAATTCTTGAAAGCCACGAAAAATGACACGGCGATCGGTGTGGTTGCTCGTGTGGAACGGCCAAGATTGGGAGTCAGGATTACAAAAAGAAATTTTACAAACTTTTAAAAAGTACCAATACAAATATATTTTGTACTTTCAGCATCTGTAGCGAGAAACAGACCAGGCAGTGCCAGCACAACAACAACAACCACAACAACAACAAAAACAACAACAACAACAACAACAACAACAACAACAAAAAACAACAACACGTATCGGATAAACCCACGTGCGGCAAACGTTCAGAGAACGGCGACAACATCAACAACTTGTGTACACACCTACCACAAAAAAACAGCCACCGGGTAAAACGAGGCAGCAAAGTCGGCATAAAAATATGCGAAAAAAACAAAACAAAACCAAACACGAACACCACGGAACACCACGGCACGGGGGGGGCGTACCCATGTTCACGCATGCGGTAGTCGTTAGACCATTGACCTCGCATCCCTACAATGCCCCGGGACGGGGCGCAATGCCCGGTTTTTGCCGGCCCAGGCTGCGTTTCGCAAGGATGTGCCAGAAGCTGGACACCATCCTTGAGTCCGCTGCGCCAAACCAGACATACCATGGGTTGATTGACTGGGCATCCCGGCTAACCAAACGTTTCACAATCGGCATGTTGTACGACAATACTTTGAAGGTGGGTGCTTCAAAGGGCACACCTGTGCACTCAGTTTTTTTAGTACCTTGTTGAGGCAGCCATACCCCAGGGACGATATCGCATCCACCTTGCTGTCCGGGAGGGACGGCACGAAGTCGACAACCCTGTTCGTTCGTTCGCCAAGAAAATACGAAAAAAAAAAAGACTGATAAAATATCGAGCTCGTCCGCGAAGAAGTTGCGTGCCTCTGTTCGGCAACATGGGGACCACTGGGATAATTACACTTGTACCCGAATGGTCCTTATCCTTCCAGACAGATTGGATATGTCGATCGGGGGATTCGTTGGTGGGGGGGGGGGGTATGTGGGCGAACGCTGCTGGGTCGAACGTGCAGATGGATCACACGGGTAGGTTGAGAATACTCCCTGCCAAGATACGGGTGTAGACGCAGCAGGAACGATTATTTACACCCGCTTGAGAGAAACGCGCCAGCAGCAGAAGCAGCAGGCCTAGACGGAGCACGTGAGTAGAGGCACGTTCGTTCACAACAAGCTGGGTTGGGCTCAAGGTTTCGCGAAGAAGGGGGGCACTCAAGGAAGGCGTGCCCACGCTTCCGTGAGACGATGTGAGCAGAGAGGCTCGTCACCAGAAACCTGGGGAGTGTCTTGCGTTTTCACTAGTACGCCCAAGGGTTTGCAAAACGAAGGAGGCTCGCGATTAGACCCTCGGCCTGTTCTCAACGAGCACAAAAAAACAAAAAGCCGGAGCAAAAAAAAGATGGTACACACACAACGTGATCGAGCGACAAGCTAAAGTCAAAACCACACAAGCAAACACAAAAAAAAAAGTCGCATTGTACACAAAAGGCCTCAGACACAAGCCTACTTCACACCAAAATCAAAATGAACAAATTACAACAATGAACAAATCAATCCCTTCGACCAAAGAGCGCAAAAAAAGAAAAAAAGTGGTTTACCTGGCCTTGAGCACCCCGAGGGGGACAGTCACCACCACGGCATCTCCCTCCACCACCTTCCCGTCTGACGCGGTAACCCGGCAGCAGAAACCGCTGGGAGAGGAGGAGGAGGCCGGCGACGCCCCCGCCCCGGTCACCGCTCCAGGTCTAGTCGGGCCGCCGCCCGCCGTCGCCGCGGCTCCCCTCCCGCCGCCCCCGCCAGAAGATCCCGAGTCCCCGCTGGCGCCGCCGCCGTCGCTGCCGCTGCCGCTGCCGCTATTGGGGGAACGCGGGCGCTTTCTCGAGGCCGCGGCGGGGGCGGCGGTGGACGTGTACCCCGCCGCTAGGTCAGCCAAGGCGCCGACCAGCCCGAGGGCGGGGGATGGGGCTGGGGCTGGGGCGCTAGCACTGCGGCTCACACCACCATTGCTGCCGCTGCCTGAGGCTTGGTTGGTGCCTCCTCTATCTCTGTCGTGGCCAGCCGAATCCCGACTGTCGATGCCGGCTCCAGCAGGGCCTCTTGACGCCGTTGATGCTGCCGCCCCCGTCTTCGCCGGCGCCGGCGCCGGCGCCGGCGCTGAAGAACCGCCGCCGGTAACGGCGGCGGCGGCGGCTCCGGCAGGCGGCGAGGAGGAGGACGATGACGATGACGATGACGCTTGCACCAACACTTCCCTCTCCTTGGATGGCGCTTTCTCCACCGAAGAAGAAGCGGCGACAGCACCCCCCGGCGTTGTCTCCCACCGTCCCTCACGTCCCCGGCTGCTGCGCCACCCCCCTTGCCGGAGGTGGGTCCATCGCCTTCTCTCCCGCCGCCGCCGCCGCCGCCGCCTGCCGCCCGTGAGCGGAAGAACTGCTGCCGCCGCCGCCCCCGCCGCCGCCCCCGCCGCCGCCGCCCGCCGCTGCCGCTGGGGCAGGGTCCCGCCCCCACGCTCCCGCGAACGACTCTTTCCGGAACATGACATGGTTGAACGGGTGGGTCTTGCCGCCTGCGGCGGACGACGCCCCGGTGGCGGTGGAGCCGGGCGTGGGTCGGGGGTTGCGAGCGTGCTCGATGCACTTCACGGCCCACCCGAAGCGGACGTCCTTGACCTGGGTGGCGATGCGGTCAGCACGGCTGCCATAGCCCTCGCTGTGTTTACCGATATACATATGTGTGCGGTTTTTTTAAGCATGGGAGTTCGGGCGGGGGGGGGGGGGAGTCGTTTTGTGACGGTTATCAACTGGTAAATCTGTGTTACACGTACATATGCATACAAGTGTAGATGTTTTAATGCATGGTTTGTGGGGAGGGGGGACGGGAAGGAGGCTTTTTTGAGAGACGGCAGTCAGTCTTTTTAGGATGGGAGCGACGGGTGTGTATGTGACGTCAGCAAACATGATTGGCACCACGGGGCGGGGAGTAGAACGAAAAAGGCAAGCTACTCCCGCGAGAGGGAGGTTCCGCGCCTGACGACAAGAGGTTTTATTTTCCCGGAAGGCGTTGTACTTGTTCCGTGAGGGAAGCAATTCCTCCTACAACCACGGAAGCAAAACCAAAATAAACGCCCTTGCTGAGTAGAGCCAAATCAAAGGCCCACCTGATGAGGCTGTGAGGCCCGTCGAATTCATCCCCCCCGTCCGCCTCCCAGTGACGCAGGCTCAGGTCGTCCAGGCTCGTGGCCTAAAAAGCAGCAGCAACGACAACGACAACGACGACGACAACGACAACAACGACGATGCAAAGCACCCGACCAAGGGCAGAACAGGGAGACGTGAGCAGAACCCGGTCAACAAAAGGGCAGCAATACTTGACGGAACAGCAGTGCAGCAGCAGCAGCAGTGCAGCAGCAGCAAAAACAACAATGTCCACAACAGCAACATTTGGTATACACCGCGACTAAGCGCTTGCCCCCAACACTCGTGCCGTGACGGTCTACAAAACTCGCAAAACTCACCCCGGTGCTGTACTCCACGTTCGACACGTGCCACTGCAAGATCCGCTCCCCTTCCCGCCCCAGGTCGCGGATCGGCACCGGCGCCCCTTTCACCGCCGGCCTCTGCGCCGCGCCATCCGCACCACCGTCAGCAGCATCCGTCCCCGCCGCCACCCCCGCCGCAGCCGCTCTCTCGACGTCCATCGCCTCGCGGAAGGTCTTCCCCACCGACAGCCAGAGCCCGAAGGGTCCCCGCTCCGCCACCGCTGCCTCCGTCGCCTCCTCAGCAGCCTTCTTCGCCGCCGCCCTCGCCTCCCGCGCCCTCTCCGCGGTCGCCTTCGCCTTCTCGACCAACGCTGCCTCTTCCGCTTCGTTGGCCGCCGCCGCCTCTGCCGCCTCCGCCGCCGGCGACGGCGACGGCGACGCCTCTGGTGTCGGCGAGGACGCCGGTTCTGCGCTGTTGGTGGCGGCGGTAGCGGTAGCGGCGGCGGCGGTGGTGGTGGTGGTGGCGTTGTTGTCAGCCGTGGTGGTGGTGGTGGTGGTGGTGGCCGTGGTGGCCGCGGTGGTAGTGCTTCCTGCCTCCTGAGCCGAGATGGTGGTGGTGGTTGTGGTGGCAGAACTGCCGCTCGATCCTCCTGACTCCGTAGCGGCCGCGGCGATGGTGGTAGCGCCGCTCGATCCTGATGCCTCCGGACCCGGGACCACCTTCGACACCTTCGCCCCTTTTTCTGCGGACGTCGTCGGCGTGGGCGAAGGAGCGGCGGCGGCGGCGGCGGCGGCCGCCTCCCCTCCTTCTTGTCGTCCCGCCACGGCCACCGGTGCCGTCGTCCCCGGCGGCGGCGGCGGCGGCGGCGGCGGCGGCGGCGTCGGCGTTGA